GCTAATGGCTCGTCAAGGGCATTTGGAGGAGAAAGTGATGATGAGGTGAGGAAGGCTTGCCCCCAGACTCAATTGGGAAAGACCCCCAGGACTCACTGCGCCTGCCTGGGGGGATTTCCAAAGTGCTCACCCATGCACAGGAGGGGGGCACTGACATAACCAAGGGGGTGGGATTGGGAACCCCTGACAGGGCAGTGCTGGCCACACCTCCCCGGGCAGGTGTGCTCAATGAACTGTATAAAAGCAGACACGTTTTCCGTGCTGGGGGCCGGCTCTACACGAAGGACCAAGTTGCTTTTAGCGGGGCCGCCTGCTGGAGTGGGAGCCTGCCAGCCCCTCGGAACACGCAGCTGCTGCAGAGAGGCTTTAGAGGTGGTCAGAGTGGGTGAGACTCTCTTATAGGTGACACCTGGGTGAGTAGGGTGTTGTGCCTTCCTTTTAGGATCTTTTTGTTCACTTTTCTCCTTCCTAAGCCCTTTCTTGAGTGCCAATGTTTTCACTGTTAGCCACCTTTGGTAATAAATAGTTACTTTCTTAAGTAGCAACGGTGTCTAGTTTTTCACCTTCCAGTATCTCTCGGACCTTTTCCCTCCCTGATACACCGCATGTGCCTAAACCACCTTTCTCCAGGATTTTGTAGTTCTGAGAGTGTCCAAACCCCCCTGTTCCCAGGATTTTTAATATCTGAGAGTATCCAAACCCCCCTGTTCCCAGGATTTCTGCGGTCTCGGAGTGTCCAAATCCCTCTTTTGTGATATTTCGGGGTCAGGGAGTGTCCAAACCCTCCTGTTCCCAGGATTTTTGAAGCCTCCCCACTTCTCCCCAGTCACCAGGAGTGCAGAGAACTGGGAAGCTTCACTGTGTGTGGGGAGCTGGGGCCGTGCTGGGGGTCCTGGTGGTGCTGGGAGCCCCCCTGGCTGCGGGCAAGGAGCTGTGGGGTGAGCAGGGGGACGGTGGGAAAGGGGGAAAAGGGGAGGAAAGAGGGGCTGATGTCCCACATCCTCCTTTTCCCCACCTTTCTGACCTCTCCCACCCCTTTTCCATCATTCCCCACTCCTCAGCCCCGTCTCGCTCCCGTCCACTTTTGGGGGGTACCACTCCCCTCCCACTGAATTTGGGATTCCCAGCACCTCTGTTACGGGGTTTACGTGGGTCCTGGCACCTCTTGGGGTGCGCTGGGTGCCCTGTTGGGGTGCAGATGCCCCCACAAAACCCCCCCATTCCCGATCCATCCTGGGGCCGGTTCTGCCCCCCTCAAACTCTGCTCCCCCCGCGGTTTCCCCCTAAGTCACCCCCAGCCCCTTCTCTCCAGTGAGCAGGACTGCAGAGCACTGAGAAGCTTTACTGGGAACACTGGGAACAGCTGGGTGGGGTGAAAACAAAAGCAGGGAAGGGGGGGACAGGCGACCCCCCAAATGAGCGCAGGGTTTGGGGGGTCCGCGGCTGGGCCCGAGGCACGGGGGGGCTGCGGCCGCCGGCGGCTCAGGAGCTCTGTGGGGAGAGAAAAGGGGGTGAGAGCAAAGGGGCTGGGGGGGAAGAGAGGACCCAGAGGCTGTGGGAGAGCAAGGGGGGGGCCACGACCCCCATTTGGGGACCCCCCTTTACCTTCTCCCGCAGGTAGAAGCCGAGCCCCAGCGCCAGGAAGACCAAGCCCAAGACGAAACCCCCGACCCCCACCAGGATCTTGCTGCGGACGGTGTCCGGTGGCATCTCTGGGGGGAGTCGGGGGGTCAGCACCCCCAAAACCTCCTCCCACGCACCCCCCGGCACCCCACAGAGCCCGGCCCGCTCTCCCCCAGCCCACCCGGGGGTCCCTCCGACCTCCTGCCAGTCCCTTCCCAGCCCCTGCAGGGATCCCACCCAGCCCCTCTCAGACCCTTTAGGACCCTCCAACGCCCCTCCCATCACCCCCAGCACCCACCAAACTCCCTCCCAGTCACCCCCAGTTGCCCCCCCGGTGCTGGGGGGGCCGGGCCGTACCCCAGTGCCGGCTGAGGGGGTGCTCCAGGCTGACGTGCTCCACCTGGCAGCTGTAGGTGACCCCGTGCCGGGGGGGGATTTCCAGCAGCACCAGCACCTGGTAGGTCCAGTCCCCGTTGGGGACCACGTCGGTGGTAAACACGTCCTCTGGCAGCTCCTGCCCATCCTGGAAACACCTCACCTGCACCGGCGCAGGGTAGAAATCCATCACGGAGCAGAGCAGGCGGCCGGGGCCGGGCTGGGAGCTCGACGGCACCAGCGAGATGGACACGCTGGGGGGCACTGGGAGGGACAGGGGAGACACTGGGCTGAGCTGGGGGGCACTGGGAGGGAGGGCAAAGGGCTTGGAGGACATTGGTAGGGACTGGGATGGCAGTGGGAGGGACTGGGATGGCAGTGGGAGGGACTGGAAATAGAGTGGGGGAGAAGGGGCTGGGCTGGGGGGGGCACTGGGGAGAGAGTTGGGAGATGTGGGAGTGAAGTGAGAACGACTGGGAATGGATTGGGTGGGTCTGGGAGTGAAGTGAGATTGACTGGGAATGACTGGTCTGGACTGGGAAGGAAGCGCTCGGGACTGGGAGGCTGAGTAGTGGTGAGGGAAGTCTTTGGTTTGGGTCTGCCTGGCAACTGGAGCGTCATCAGAGAGACGCGCTGGGATTGGCTGAGGGGTGGGAGCTCGGTGGCCCCAGAGGGGTGGAGACGCGGGGGGGCACTGGGAGAGACTGGGATGGACTGGGATCGACTGGGATGGAGTGGGAGGGGGCAAAAGGCCAAGGGACGGGCACAGGGAGGGCTGAGGGGTCTCAGGTGATTCCGAGGGAGGGTTTGATGGGCTCCAGGGTCATTTCCGGGGCAGGGCCCGAGGGGACCCGTTCTGCCCCAGGCTCACCTCTGCGGTTCACCAGGAGTTTGGTGGATAATTCGTAGTTGTGCCGGCAGAACCTTTCCATCTCAGACCATCTGAGCTCCCGCCATTCCGGGAGGTAGTTCCATTCCCTGGCAACCTTCTCCCCAAACAGGGTGTCCTCCACATAGGTCCCCAAATCGATCTCGAGCTGGGCATACTGCTCCCGGTTGTAGATGTACCTCTTCACGAGCCTCACCTGCTCGGTGCCGTTGATGAAGTGACACTCGGACTTTGTCATTAGCTGGAACACCCCTGTGTGCGCAGGACACGGGTCAGGGGGTGCCCCGTCCCCCCATCATCCCCCAGCCCCCCACAGCAGGCTGGGAGCTCAGGGAGCCACCCCGGACCCTCCTTTCCCACCCCTCTCTGCCCCACGGACGCCCCAGCACCGGCTCTTGGCTGGGGGGGAACCCCCCCATCAGCCCCCCGGGGATGGACAGGGGGGTTGGGGACCCTCCCACTGCAGATTCGACCCCCCAGAGCCCCAGGGAACCGCTCCAGGGCTCAAGGGACACCCAGGGACCCCCAGGGCACCCCTCTGCCTGCTCTCCCACACCCTTTTGCCCCCCTCTCCCACCCCTGTCCCACCTGCCCCACAATCCCCAGACCCCCTGACCTTACTTTAGGGCTCCCACCCCCCTCCCACTCAGTCCGAGCCTTCCGACCCCCCTCGTCCTCACATTTTTGGGGCTCCCACCCCCTCTTTTCTTCTTTTCTTCCCCTCTTTCCCACCCCCCCGCTCACCCGACAGCTCCTCGCCCGCAGCCGGGGGGGCTCCCAGCACCACCAGCACCGCCAGCACGGCCCCAGCTCCCCGCACACGCTCCATGCCCAGCGCCGGACAGCTGCTGACAGCCCAAAACCAGCCGGGCGGCGCCGTTTGGGGGATTTGGGGCGCGCTGGGCTTGGCTGAGGGCGCAGTTGGGGCCCTTTTTTCGAGGCGTCTTCCCGGCGACTGATGAGTCATCAGCGCGGCGCGCTGGGATTGGGCGCGGGCGGCGTGGGCGCTTTGGGATTGGCTGAGGGCCGTTGGGGGCCCCCGCGGCAGCCCCGGGGCTGGGGGGTTCGGGGGGTCCGTGGGCTGCGGGGGAGGGGGGAGCTCAGGGCCCACCAAAAATGCCCAGCCAGGGCTCCCAAAGCTCAGGGAACCCCCAAAACCGCCCATCCCTGGCTCCCGGAGCTCCCACGGGTCCCCAAAATGAGTTGAGGGCGTTCTCTGACTGGCTGAGCTCGGGGAGGGCTCCGTTCCGGACGGGTCTGCCCGGCAGCTGATGACGCGCCAACAGCGCTCGCTCCCATTGGCTGCTGCTGCTGATCCTGCCCGGGCCTTGGGGGGTCCAAGGTGGGTTTTGGGGGTTCCAGGATTGCTGGGGTTGGGGTTTGGAGTGTCGTGGATAGGTGGCAATGAGGGTCTGGGATGCCGGGTGTGCCCAATAACCCTGTGTTCATGAGATTTTGGAAGTGTGGGAGTGTTTGAACCCCCTGTTCTCAGGAGTTTTAGGGTCTGGGAGTGTCCTAACCCCTCTATTCTAAAATTTTGGCATCTGGGTGTGCCCAAACCCTTCTGTTTTCACAATTTTGGGACCCTGGGAGTACCTAAACTTCTCTTTTCCAGGATTTTTTTTGGATCTGGGAGAGCTCAAACCCCTCTGTTCATAGGGGTTCAGGAGGCTGACATTTGTCCAAACCCCCTTTTCCTAGTATTTTGAGGGTCTGAGAATGCCCAAAACCCACTGTTCCCAGGATTTTGATGGAGTCTGGGAGTGTCCAAACCTTCTTTTCCAATATTTTGTGCTCTGGGAGTACCCAAAACCCCTGCCCCTCGGATTTTTAGGGTCTAGGAGAGCCCATACCCCCATGTTACCAAGATTTTTGAGGTCCTAATGTTTCCAACCCCCCAGTTCCCTTGTTTTTCAGACACTGATGGTGCCCAAACTCCTCTTTTCCAAGATTTGAGGAGCTTGGAGTGCCCAAATCCCCTGTTCCTGGGATTTTCAGAGCCCCCTCAATGCCTCAAATAACCAGGACTGCAGAGCACTGGGAATGTTTACTGGGAACACTGGGAGCAGCCGGCTGGGGTGAGAACAAAAGCAGGGAAGGGGGGACAGACGACCCCCCAAACTCAGCGTGGGGATGCACTGGGGGGTCCCGGCTGGGCCCGAGGCCACGGGGAGGGGCTGCGGCCGCCAGCGGCTCAGGAGCTCTGTGGGGAGAGAAAAGGGGGTGAGAACAGTGGGGTTGGGGGGACAGGGGGGGCCCACAAGCTCTGGGAAAGGTGGGGACACGACCCCCATTTGGGGACCCCCCTTTACCTTCTCCCGCAGGTAGAAGCCGAGCCCCAGCGCCAGGAAGACCAAGCCCAAGACGAAGCCCCCGACCCCCACCAGGATCTTGCTGCGGACGGTGTCCGGTGGCATCTCTGGGGGGAGCCGGGGGGGTCAGCACCCCCAAAACCTCCTCCCACGCACCACCCGGCACCCCACAGAGCCCGGCCCGCTCTCCCCCAGCCCACCCGGGGGTCCCTCCAACCTTCTGCCAGTCCCTTCCCAGCCCCTGTAGGGGATCCCACCAAGCCCCTCCCAGACCCTTTAGGACCCTCCAACCCCCTCCCATCATCCCCAGCACCCACCAAACTCCCTCCCAGTCGCCCCCAGTCGCCCCCCCGGTGCTGGGGGGGCCGGGCCGTACCCCAGTGCCGGCTGAGGGGGTGCTCCAGGCTGACGTGCTCCACCTGGCAGCTGTAGGTGACCCCGCGCTGGGGGGGGATTTCCAGCAGCACCAGCACCTGGTAGGTCCAGTCCCCGTTGGGGACCACGTCGGTGGCCACCACGTGCTCCGGCAGCTCCTGCCCATCCTGGAACCACCTCACCTGCACCGGCGCAGGGTAGAAATCCATCCCGGAGCAGAGCAGGCGGCCGGGGCCGGGCTGGGAGCTCGACGGCACCAGCGAGATGGACACGCTGGGGGGCACTGGGAGGGACGGGGGAGACACTGGGCTGAGCTGGGGGGCACTGGGAGGGAGGGCAGAGGGCTTGGAGGACATTGGGAGGGACTGGGATGGCAGTGGGAGAGAGTGGGAATCGAGTGGGGGAGAAGGGGCTGGGCTGGGGGGGCACTGGGGAGAGAGTTGGGAGATGTGGGAGTGAAGTGAGAACGACTGGGAATGGACTGAGAGGGTCTGGGAGTGGAGGGAGAGGGTCTGGGAGTGACTGGTATGGACTGGGAAGGAAGCGCTCGGGACTGGGAGGCTGAGTGGTGGTGAGGGAACTCTTTGGTTTGGGTCTGCCTGGCAACTGAAGCGTCATCAGAGAGACGCGCTGGGATTGGCTGAGGGGCGGGAGCTCGGTGGCCCCAGAGGGGTGGAGACGCGGGGGGGCACTGGGAGAGACTGGGATGGACTGGGATCGACTGGGATGGAGTGGGAGGGGGCAAAAGGCCAAGGGACGGGCACAGGGAGGGCTGAGGGGTCTGGAGTGATTCCTAGAGAGGGTTTGAGGGGCTCCAGGGTCATTCTCGGGGCAGGGTCCGAGGGGACCCGCTCTGCCCCACCCTCACCTCTCCTCTCCACGGCAGTCAGAGTGGACGCCTCGTAGTTGTGCCGGCAGTACCAGTCCACCGCAGACCGATCGTACTCCAGCCGTTCCTGGTCGCTGTTCCAGTACCTGGCCTGGATCTCCCCATCTGGGGTGTCCCCCACATAGACCCCCACATCGCTGTCGAAGTGGGCGTACTGCTCCCGGTTGTAGATGTACCTGTCCACGTTCCTGACCCGGTCGGTGCCGTTGATGAAGTAACACTCGGACTTTCTCATCTCCTGGAACACCCCTGTGTGTGCAGGACACGGGTCAGGGGGTGCCCCGTCCCCCCCATCATCCCCCAGCCCCCCCCAGCAGGGCTGGCAGCTCAGGGGACCACCCCGGATCCCCCCTTTCCCACCCCCCTCTGCCCCAGGACGCCCCAGCACCGGCTCTTGGCTGGGGGGGAACCCCCCATCAGCCCCCCGGGATGGACAGAGGGGTTGGGGACACCCCCCACTGCCGATCCCACCCCCCAGAGCCCCAGGGAACCGCTCCAGGGCTCAAGGGACACCCAGGGACCCCCATGGCACCCCTCTGCCTGCTCTCCCACACCCCCTTTGCCCCCTCTCCACCCCTTTCCCACCGCCCCTCAATCCCACCCCCCCAACCTCACTTTGGGGCTCCCACCCCCCTCCACTCACTCAAACTTCCAACCCCCTCCCACTCACTTTTGGGGCTCCCAACCCCTCTTCTCTCCCCTCTTTCCCCCCCTTTCCCACCTGACACCCTTCCCGCCCCCCCAACTCACCCGACAGCTCCTCGCCCACAGCCGGGGGGGCTCCCAGCACCACCAGCACCGCCAGCACGGCCCCAGCTCCCCGCACACGCTCCATGCCCAGCGCCGGACAGCTGCTGACAGCCCAAAACCAGCCGGGCGGGTCTTTTTTGGGGCTTTTTGGTCGCGCTCGGATTGGCTGAGGGCAAAGCCCGGCGCCGGTTTGGGGCCGTGTTGGAGCCTGGTCTTCCCGGCGACTGATGAGTCATCAGCGCGGCGCGCTGCGATTGGGCGCGGGCGGCGTGGGCGCTTTGGGATTGGCTGAGGGCCGTTGGGGGGCCCCGCGGCAGCCCCGGGGCTGGGGGGGTCCAACCCCGGGGTTTTCGGGGTTCCCGGATTGCTGGGGATGGGGTTTGGGGTGTCCTGGATACATTGGAAGCAGGTTTTGGGTGTTCGCGCGTGCCCAATAACCCCCCTGTTCCCGGGATTTTGTGGTTCTGAGAGTGCCCAAACCCCCCTGTTCTTACAATTTTGGGGACCTGGGAGTGCCCAGACCCGCCTGTTCTCACAGTGTTGGGGTTCGGGGAGTACCTAAACCTGTCTTTTCCAGGAGTTTTTGGGGCTGGGACAGGTCAAACCCCTGTGTTCCTGAGTTACTGGGAGGCTGCCATTGCCCAAAGCCACCTATTCTCAGGATTGTAGAGCTCTGAATGTGCCAAAACCACCTTTATCCAGAATTTTGGGGGGCTCAGAATGCCCAACCCCCCCTGTTCTTTGGAGTTTTAAGATCTGGAAGTGTCCTAAGCCCTCTATTCCAATATTTTGAGGTCTAGAAATGCCCCAAGAACTTTATTCCTGTGACTTTTCAGTTCTAGGAGAGGCTATACCCCTGTGTTCACAAGATTTTTGTGGTCTCAATGTTCCTGACCCCCCTGTTCCCATAATTTTGGGGGCCTGGCAGTGCCCAACCCTCCTGTTCTGACAATTTTAGGGGTCTAGGACTAAATAACACCCTCTTTTCCTGGATTGTGTGGTCCTGGGACAGCCCAATCCCTCCTCTTCCTGTATTACTGGGAGGCTGACACTGCCCAAACCTCCCTGTTCCCAGGATTTCTGGAGTCTCGGAGTGTCCACATCCCTCTTTTGTGATATTTCTTGGTCAGAGAGTGCCCAAACGCTCCAGTTCCCAGGATTTTCAGGGTCTGGGAATACAAAACCCCCCTGTTCCCAAAATTTTCAGAGCCCCCCCATCAGTACCCCCAACAACCAGGAGTGCAGAGCACTGAGAAGCTTTACTGGGAACACTGGGAACAGCTGGTTAGTGTGGGAAGAAATGGAGGGAAGGGGGGGACAGGCGACCCCCCCAAATGAGCGCAGGGTTTGGGGGGTCCCGGCTGGGCCCGAGGCCACGGGGAGGGGCTGCGGCCGCCGGCGGCTCAGGAGCTCTGTGGGGAGAGAAAAGGGGGTGAGAGCAAAGGGGCTGGGGGGGCAGGGGGGGCCCAGAGGCTGTGGGAGAGCAAGGGGGGGGACACGACCCCCATTTGGGGACCCCCCTTTACCTTCTCCCGCAGGTAGAAGCCGAGCCCCAGCGCCAGGAAGACCAAGCCCAAGACGAAGCCCCCGACCCCCACCAGGATCTTGCTGCGGACGGTGTCCGGTGGCATCTCTGGGGGGAGCCGGGGGGGTCAGCACCCCCAAAACCTCCTCCCACACACCCCCAGGCACCCCACAGAGCCCGGCCCACTCTCCCCCAGCCCACCCAGGGGTCCCTGAAACCTCCTGCCAGTCCCTTCCCAGCCCCTGCAGGGATCCCACCCAGCCCCTCCTGGCCCCTTTAGGACCCTCCAACCTCCCTCCCATCACCCCCAGCACCCCCCAAACTCCCTCCCAGTCGCCCCCAGTTGCCCCCGGGGCTGGGGGGGCCGGGCCGTACCCCAGTGCCGGCTGAGGGGGTGCTCCAGGCTGACGTGCTCCACCTGGCAGCTGTAGGTGACCCCGCGCCGGGGGGGGATTTCCAGCAGCACCAGCACCTGGTAGCTCCAGTCCCCGGTGGGGACCACGTCGGTGGAAAACACGTCCTCTGGCAGCTCCTGCCCATCCTGGAACCACCTCACCTGCACCGGCGCAGGGTAGAAATCCATCACAGAGCAGAGCAGGCGGCCGGGGCCGGGCTGGGAGCTCGACGGCACCAGCGAGATGGACACACTGGGGGGCACTGGGAGGGACAGGGGAGACACTGGGCTGAGCTGGGGGGCACTGGCAGGGACGGGGGAGACACTGGGCTGAGCTGGGGGGCACTGGGAGGGAGGGCAAAGGGCTTGGAGGACATTGGTAGGGACTGGGATGGCACTGGGAGGGACTGGGATGGCAGTGGGAGGGACTGGAAATAGAGTGGGGGAGAAGGGGCTGGGCTGGGGGGGGCACTGGGGAGAGAGTTGGGAGATGTGGGAGTGAAGTGAGAACGACTGGGAATGGACTGAGAGGGTCTGGGAGTGAAGTGAGATTGACTGGGAGTGACTGGTATGGACTGGGAAGGAAGCGCTCGGGACTGGGAGGCTGAGTGGTGGGGAGGGAAGTCTTTGGTTTGGGTCTGCCTGGCAACTGGAGCGTCATCAGAGAGACGCGCTGGGATTGGCTGAGGGGCGGGAGCTCGGTGGCCCCAGAGGGGTGGAGACGCGGGGGGGGCACTGGGAGAGACTGGGATGGACTGGGATCGACTGGGATGGAGTGGGAGGGGGCAAAAGGCCAAGGGACGGGCACAGGGAGGGCTGAGGGGTCTCAGGTGATTCCCAGGGAGGGTTTGAGGGGCTCCAGGGTCATTTCCGGGGCAGGGCCCGAGGGGACCCTCTCTGCCCCAGGCTCGCCTCTGCGGTTCACCAGGAGTTTGGTGGATAATTCGTAGTTGTGCCGGCAGAACCTTTCCATCTCAGACCATCTGAGCTCCCGCCATTCCGGGAGGTAGTTCCATTCCCTGGCAACCTTCTCCCCAAACAGGGTGTCCTCCACATAGGTCCCCAAATCGATCTTGAGCTGGGCATACTGCTCCCGGTTGTAGATGTACCTCTTCACGAGCCTCACCCACTCGGTGCCGTTGATGAAGTGACACTCGGACTTTGTCATTAGCTGGAACACCCCTGTGTGTGCAGGACACGGGTCAGGGGGTGCCCCGTCCCCCCATCATCCCCCAGCCCCCCACAGCAGGCTGGGAGCTCAGGGGGCCACCCCGGACCCCCCTTTCCCAACCCCCCTCTGCCCCACGGACGCCCCAGCACCGGCTCTTGGCAGGGGGGGGGAACCCCCCCATCAGCCCCCCGGAGATGGACAGGGGGGTTGGGGACCCTCCCACTGCAGATTCGACCCCCCAGAGCCCCAGGGAACCGCTCCAGGGCTCAAGGGACACCCAGGGACCCCCAGGGCACCCCTCTGCCTGCTCTCCCACACCCTTTTGCCCCCCTCTCCCACCCCTGTCCCACCTGCCCCACAATCCCCAGACCCCCTGACCTTACTTTAGGGCTCCCACCCCCCTCCCACTCAGTCCGAGCCTTCCGACCCCCCTCGTCCTCACATTTTTGGGGCTCCCACCCCCTCTTTTCTTCTTTTCTTCCCCTCTTTCCCACCCCCCCGCTCACCCGACAGCTCCTCGCCCGCAGCCGGGGGGGCTCCCAGCACCACCAGCACCGCCAGCACGGCCCCAGCTCCCCGCACACGCTCCATGCCCAGCGCCGGACAGCTGCTGACAGCCCAAAACCAGCCGGGCGGCGCCGTTTGGGGGATTTGGGGCGCGCTGGGCTTGGCTGAGGGCGCAGTTGGGGCCCTTTTTTCGAGGCGTCTTCCCGGCGACTGATGAGTCATCAGCGCGGCGCGCTGGGATTGGGCGCGGGCGGCGTGGGCGCTTTGGGATTGGCTGAGGGCCGTTGGGGGCCCCCGCGGCAGCCCCGGGGCTGGGGGGTTCGGGGGGTCCGTGGGCTGCGGGGGAGGGGGGAGCTCAGGGCCCACCAAAAATGCCCAGCCAGGGCTCCCAAAGCTCAGGGAACCCCCAAAACCGCCCATCCCGGGCTCCCGGAGCTCCCACGGGTCCCCAAAATGAGTTGAGGGCGTTCTCTGATTGGCTGAGCTCGGGGAGGGCTCCGTTCCGGACGGGTCTGCCCGGCAGCTGATGACGCACCAACAGCACTCGCTCCCATTGGCTGCTGCTGCTGACCCTGCCCGGGTTTTGGGGGGTCCAAGGTGGGTTCTGGGAGTTCCCGGATTCCTGGGGTTGGCGTTTGGGTTGACCTGGGTACGTGGGAATGAAGTTCTGGGCGGCCCCGAGTGCCCAATAATTTCCAGTTCCTGGGATTCTGGGGGTGTGACGCTTTCCAAATCCCACTCTGCCTGGGATTTTTAGGGTCTGGGAGTGTCCAGTCCCCTCTTTTCCAATATTTTGGGCTCTGGATGTGCCCAAGCCAACTTTCTCGGGGATTTTTAGGGTCTGGGAGTGCCCCAACCCCCTATTCCCATGCGTTTCATGGTCTAGGAGTGTCCAAGCCCCTCTTTTCCAATATTTTGGGGTCAGGGAGTGCCCCAACCACGATGTTCCTGTAACTTCTGGATTCTAGGGGAGCCCCCATGTTCCCAAGATTTTTGGGGTCTGAATGTCCCCAAAAGCCCTGTTCAAAGGATTTTGTGGGTCTGGAAGTGCCCAAACCCCCCATTCCTGGGATTTTCAGAGCCCCCTCACTGCCCCCCCAAAAACCGGGACTGCAGAGAACTGGGAAGCTTTACTGGGAACACTGGGAGCAGCCGGCTGGGGTGTGAACAAAAGCAGGGCCGGGGGGGACACACGACCCCCCCAAAGTGCAGGTGGGGCTGGACTGGGGGGTCCCGGCTGGGCCCGAGGCCACGGGGAGGGGCTGCGGCCGCCGGCGGCTCAGGAGCTCTGTGGGGAGAGAAAAGGGGGTGAGAGCGGGGTGGGGGGACAGGGGGGACACCGGGATACACCGAGACCTGGACTGGAGCCAGCGGGACCAGAACTGGGGCAACTGGGATCATCCTGGGAGCAACTGGGAGTATGTTGGGGAAAACTGGGATATACTGGGAGTGAGTGGAACCATAGGAGGGGTGAATGGGAGTGACTGGAACCACTCTGGGGGCAACTGGGATCATAGTGGGAGCAACTGGGCCCCTGCTGGGCTCATGCTGGGATCTTACAGGGAGCAACTGGGTCAATCCTAGGGGCAACTGGTACCATGCTAGGGAATACTGGAATCATACTGGGATCACAGTGGGAGCAGCTTGGCCCATGCTGGGAGCCACCACAGTGAGGGTGACTGGGGTCATACTGGGAGTGACTGGGAGCATTCTGAGGGCAGTTGGGACCATGTTGGCAGAACTGGGATATACTGGGAGCAAGTAGGATCATGTTGGAGGTGACTGGGATCATAGTGGGAGCATACTAGGAGTGACTGGGAGCATGCTGAGGTCAACAGAGATCATACTGGGAGTGACTGGAACCATAGTAGGGGTGAATGGGAGTAACTGGAACAATGCTGGGGGCAACTGGGATCAGAGTGGGAGCAGCTGGGCCCCTGCTGGGCTTATATTGGGATCATACTGGGACTGACAGGGATCATCCTGGGAGTGACTGCAATGATACTGGGGATGACTGGGATCAAACTGGATTCATACTGGAAGTGTCTGCAGGTTACTGGGATCATACTGGTAGCAACTGTGATTGTACTGGGATCATACTGGGATAAGACTAGGATCATACTGGGAGCAACTGGTTCTATGCTAAGGGAACTGGGAACTACTTGGATCCCACTGGAGGAACTGAGAGCAACTGGGACCATGCTGGGCACAACTGGGATATACTGGGAGCAAGTGGGATCACTCTGGAGGTTACTGGGATCATAGTGGGAGTGACTGGGACCACACTGGGGGTGACTGGGAGTGGCTGTGAGCAACTGGGATCATGCTGGAAGCTACTGGGAGCAATTGGGAGTGAGTGGGACCACACTGGGGGCAACTGGGATATACTGAGAGAGACCAGGAGTGACTGGGATCACACTGGGACTGACTGGGAGTGTACTGGGAGTGACTGGGAGCATGCTGAGGTCGACTGGGATAGACTGGGAGAGACTGGCAGTGCCAGGGATCATACTGGGAACTACTGGAATCATAGTGGGGTGACTGGGAGCAATTGGGACTATGCAGGGGGTAACTTGGATCGTAGTAGGAGAGACTGGGATCATACTGGTAATGACTGGGAGCATGCTGGAGACAACTGGCATATACTGGGAGTGGCTGGGAGTGACAGGAATCATTCTGGGAGCAACTGGAACCACACTGGAGGCAACTGGGATCATACTGGGAGTGACTGCAATAATAGTGGGAGTATGTGAGAGGGACTGCAGCCATACTGGGGATGACTGGGATCAAACTGGATTTGTACTGGGAGTGTCTGGAAGTTCCTGGGATCACACCAGAGGTGACTGGACTCATACTGGGATCATACTGGAGCAACTGGAACCATGCTGGGGGCAACTGGGATCCTATTGGGAGTGACTGGGAGTGACTGGGATCACTGTGGGAGTGACCAGGACCATACTGGAACCATCCTGGGAGTGACTGTCAGTGAGGGGCACCATGCTGAGACTAACTGGAACTACATAGAGGGGAACTGGGAGCAACTGGGATCATGCTGGAAGCAAGTGGGAGTAACTGGGAATGACAGGGTGCATGCTGGAGGCAACTGTCATAAACTGGGAGTGACTGGGAGTGACTGGGATCATCCTGATGGGAACTGGAAGCATCCTGGGGCAAGTGGAAGTAACTGGGTATGACTGTGAGCATGCTGAGGGCAACTGGGATCTACTGGGAGAGTCTGCAACCATCGTGGGGGTGACTGGGAGCACACTGGGAGTGACTTGGACCATATGGGGGGCAACTGGGAGTGACTGGGACCATGATGAGGGAAGACTGGGATCACACTTGGATTGACTGAATCTGTGCTGGAGGCAACTGGGACCATGCTGGGGACAACTGGGCCCACAGTGAGGGTGACTGGGGTCATACTGGGAGTGACTGGGAGCATTCTGAGGGCAGTTGGGACCACGTTGGTACAACTGGGATATACTGGGAGCAAGTGGGATCACTCTGGAGGTGACTGGGATCATAGTGGGAGCGACTGGGAGCACACTGGGAGTGACTGGGAGTGGCTGTGAACAACTGGGATCATGCTGGAAGCATGGAAAAGAGATTTCTTCCTTAAAAGACTCCTTTTGGCCCAAGAACCCTCGGTGCCATGGCAGATGTTTCCTGCGGGGTTTGAGCATTCCCAGGAGCACAAATCCACAGGGATCTGCTGCAAAGTCGCCTCTAGAAAGGCCAAACCAGCCAAGGGGGAGTTTTGTGGCCAAACCCAACCAGGTCTGTGTTTCCTGGTTCACCAGCTCTGCTCTTCTCCCCCCTCTGAGGAGGGATGGGAGCAGCGCTGAGACCCAAAGAGCTGCCAGAAACACCCCAGAAAAGTTGCCAGAACCCCCCCAAAATTAACGAGCCCCCTACAAATTCCAAGCAGATCCCGTCCTTCCATTCCTTGTTCTTTGCTGCTGGTTAAAAGCAGGTAGGAAATACAATCCTATCTATTATTATTGTTACACCAAATATTGATCTAATATGATAATGTTAATTAAACTTTACCATATGTGTGCAGGTGACTCCTGGCAGGGGGTTTGTGCAGGAGGAGGCTCTGGGGTGGCTCCTCCAGCCTCAGCCACTCCCCCCAGGGCAGTGATGGTGAGGAGCAGCCCCGTGAGGAGCCCAGTGACCCCCAGGGGCACCTTTTTGTCCTTGATGGGCCTGAGGCTGAAATGTGGGGACAAAGCCCATGGAAGGGGCACAAAGAGCACCCCACAGCCCCAGCTCTTGTACCCCCCGGGTCCCTTCCCCACCTCCCAGCCCAGCCCCAGGCCCGTGGGGGCTCCAGGCTCAGTTTGGGGGGATCCCAGTGCTGTCAGCGGCACCCAAGGATTTTTGGGGCTGCATCCCCCTCGAGCCCCCTTCCAGCACGGGATGGGCACCCCCCCAGCCCCACAGCTTGCCAAGCCCTTTGCCCTTCCTTCCCTGCTCCTCCCCGGCAGGAACTGGCCTGTTGGAGGGGACTTGCAGCCTTTGGGCTGGGCCAGGCTGTGCAAAGGAGCTGCTGCCAGGCCAGGGAGGGTCGGGCTGAGGGGAGGAGGCCGGAGCCCCCAGGCTGTGGCACTGGGGAGGCCCTGGGGCGCCTCTCTGGGCTCTGGGGCCTGGACATTTCTCTGCCCTGGGCCCGGCCATGGCAGAGGCCCCTGGGGGGGTGCCCACACCCAGCACTGCCCCGACAAGGCCTCTGAGCAGGGCTGCCCTCCAAGCACCCCCTGCCCAGGCCTCTCTGCAAACACTGATCATCCAGGACTGTTTCACTTTAATTCACTCCAAGGGATACAAGAATCAAACAAAAGTTCCTCTGGCCTGGCAGGGTGGGCTGTAACACTCCCCTGTGGCTTTTGGAACTGATTTTAGTGCCCACACACACTAAACTCAAGCACAGCTTTGAAACAACCTCCCCAAAAGAGGAGCTGGTTTTCCTGGTGCCTCCCTCCGCTCTCTGTTGCAGCAGCTCCATCGCAGCAGCCCAGTCTGTGCAAACCAAGCCAGTTCCTGCTCAGGCCGGGAACTGGGCAGTGCCAAATGCCTGATTTGGGGCACTTTCCTGCCAGGAAAGTCAAGCCCCCTTTTCCCTT